GAAAGAGAGGAATTGGGAAAGGGAGGGGAATTGGATATTCGATCTTTGTTAAATCTGGTGTTAGTCTGGCTTGACTCGTTCGGTGGACGGACCGACACGGAGTTGTACAGTGAGGGCAGCTGCTCCACATGCCGGGCCGATTGTTTAGAGCTTTTAAGTAACGGCCCCTAATTGAACTACCAACACCTCGTTCAGAGAAAAACATCAAGGCACTTTTTAGCCGATGGTTGACTTTGGGGCTCAAAACAATTTGTCCTGGCTGTGGAGCAGGGCTGACTTATAAGCACTGCCTGACCAACAACAATGTGTTGGTCTTCCACCTGCCGCAGTCGGCCAGACTAACACAGTTTCAGAAAATTACACCCAACCAGACATTGACAGTTCCAGGAGAACATGGACCAGAGCAGTATCATTTGTCCTCAGTCATCTGCAGTGGGTCTGACCAGACCAAGTTTTATACTTGCATACCCCATGGACGTCAAGTAGTAAAAGCAATGGACGATCATGTCTTCACTGCAGCGGCTGTCTGCAGTGAAGACATGAAGAGGACAGGATTTCTTTACATATATGAGAAAGAAAGGAGGAAAAGCAGCACAAAGTAAGATGGATCTGAAATGAACAAATCTTACTTTGTGCTGCTCTTCCTCCTTTCTTTCTCAGGTGTTGGTAGTTCAATTAGGGGGCCATTACAGCCCCTCCTCTCAATAGCGTTAAAGCTGAGAGGAGCTAGAAATTTCTAAATTAGGTGCTAAAAATTTTCTGGTATCAATGGGTAAAAAGATTAGACAGGTTTCCTGTTTGCAGGTTTCTCTCCGGGCGCTCCGGCTTCCTGCCACAGTCTAAAATCATGACTGTTTGGGTAATTGGCCTCTAAATTCTCCTTAGATGTGAATAAAACATTAATTTTGTGAACAAAACGGTTGCACATCGGCTCAGTTGGGACAACTGTTGCCTTGCAGCAACAAAGTCCTGGGTTTGAATCTCCTCTCTCATAATTCTCTTCCCAAGAGCCTTTACTTCAGAATAAAGGCTCAGAAATAATTAAATGTATTTTTGACATGTAATTACAAAATGTCAGTCATACATTTTGTAATTAAATTTCATAAATGACATATAAAAAAGAAATTTGCAGGTTTCTCTCCGGGCGCTCCGGCTTCCTGCCACAGTCTAAAATAATGGCGATATTATATATATAAAAAGATTAGACAGGTTTCCTGTCTAATCTTTAATCTTTAGACAGGAATATATATACACACATATATACACACACACACACATATATATATATGTGTGTGTATATGTGTGTACATAGATATACACACACACATATATATGTGTGTGTGTATATATATAAATATGTATATCTATATTTCTATTAATATATATTTTTTTCATTTATTTATTTCCATCTATTAATTAAAAATTAAACAGGAAACCTGTCTAATCTTTTTATATATATAATATAGCCTGGTATATAGATATATTTTATATCTATATACGAGGTGCGCAGTTTGACAAAATGGCTGCCACCAGGTGCTGTTGAAATAGAATTTTAAATTATCACAAGCGTAAACAGGCTAAACTTTACATTAAGACAAACTTAGATAAAGATCCAAACTAAAACAACTGGTGATTCTCTGAAACTTACATAAATTTCTAATCAGAAGACAATCTTGTACTCCCGAAGGAGGGTTTTCAGAGAGGAAGCGTATTGGCTATCAGGATAATAAATTCTTTACTCAGAGTTGAAGAGTTAAGGCAAACATTAAAAACTATATTAGTCTTTTTTACAAAATATAATCAAACAAATTAAGATATTTCCTTAAGCTTTGGACAGCATGTTTTGAATTAGTTTGTTTTACATTCAATCGTATAGTTACTATTTTTTAGCATTATATTTTGTTTCAGTAAAACACAAACACGGTCTGGTTCAATCACTGAGGCAGAAAACCAAAACAGGCCCAGGTCATAAATTGTCACCGAAGGAGGGTTTGCAGAGACGCCTGGTATGCCAAAGACCCAGTTTGACAATCCATATATCTGCCTTTGGGCTCTTTAGCACGAAATAATGAAATTAACATTGAGACAGCCCCCACAAAGGAAAAAACACACCTTCTAATTGCATAGGGAAATACATAGTCTTATAAAAAGCTTTGCTTGAAACGGACAAGTTGAATCTCTTTGTGCTGAGTGAGTGATTTCCAAAGATGCATCTTTGTTTTTCTTTTTAAACTCATCGCAAGTATTTTTCTATTTGTCATTTTTGTGGACTTTTGATTTCTGGGTGAGATGCTTATTGTAACATTAGGTATGCATTTAAATTCTCTGGATAAAGCTCTAGATATCTGAAGTCTGATGTCGTATTATTGCTCTTTCTCCCTGTGCACGCTTAGACTCAAGAATCCGTGATAATTGAGGAAAATCAATGAGCTAAATCAAGTTATTCCTCTTTAATTCTTAACAGTGCGCAGTTCGACAAGCGTACATCTTTGACCCCGAGTCAGACCAAAAAGAAGAAGAAGTGGAGCCTCCTGTGCAGCGAACAAGAACGCAGCTGGTGGCTTCTAAATTGTAATTCAACAACAAAACAGTTGTCTCTTCCAGCAGCCATTTAACATAGCATATAGCAGTAAAACTAGCTAACTTTAGTGTTACAACTCGGTTTGACTTGGACTAAAAATGCAACATTTATTACATTTTCAGCCGTTCATTTTCACGCTGCGCTGTGTCAAACAAAGTAAAGATCAGGCGAGTAATTCAAGTGTAGAAATATTGCTTACAAAATGAATTTATTATATATAAATACGAATGCAACAGTTCAGTCAAATATAAATCTATTGTTAATCTCTTCATGCTAAATAAGTTTTAAACAAAAACTACAGTGAGCTCATTGATGATGTCATAGATGACATCAAATACATCACAATAGATCAAAGATGTTCTGAGCCTTTAAACGTTGGAATCTCAAGACATTGAACATTCGCGATCCAGAACTCTCATTGATTCCTGAATTCATATTTCTTAGCAATGATTAATTTCTCTCATGCGCTGGTACCGTTTGCTCTGCCACTCGGCTGGGGACTCGGCTATGTCGTAACATCTGGCATGAAAAAGGTATTTGATTATTTTACTGAAACTGATTCACCGTTGAATGGCAGTACCGTGGATACTGAAGAAACCGACCCGGCGGGGAAGGTTTCTTCTGCCACTGAGTTCGTGGAGGTCCCCAACGACCAGGCTGCCCCGGCTGGGGTAGCCCTCTCATCCTCAGAGAGCTCTACCCCGGCTGGGGTAGTTCTCTCTGAGGATGAGGGAAAAGTCTCTCCTGCAGAGATCGCTCCAGTCCTGGAGGAGCTGAAAGAGAGGGAATTGGGAATGGGGGAGGAATATTCGATATTCGATCTTTGATAAATCTGGTGTTAGTCTGGCTTGACTCGTTCGGTGGACGGACCGACACGGAGTTGTACAGTGAGGGCAGCTGCTCCACATGCCGGGCTGATTGTTTAGAGCTTTTAAGTAACGGCCCCCTAATTGAACTACCAACACCTCGTTCAGAGAAAAACATCGCGGCACTTTTTAGCCGATGGTTGACTTTGGGGCTCAAAACAATTTGTCCTGGCTGTGGAGCAGGGCTGACTTATAAGCACTGCCTGACCAACAACAATGTGTTGGTCTTCCACCTGCCGCAGTCGGCCAGACTAACACAGTTTCAGAAAATTACACCCAACCAGACATTGACAGTTCCAGGAGAACATGGACCAGAGCAGTATCATTTGTCCTCAGTCATCTGCAGTGGGTCTGACCAGACCAAGTTTTATACTTGCATACCCCATGGACGTCAAGTAGTAAAAGCAATGGACGATCATGTCTTCACTGCAGCGGCTGTCTGCAGTGAAGACATGAAGAGGACAGGATTTCTTTACATATATGAGAAAGAAAGGAGGAAAAGCAGCACAAAGTAAGATGGATCTGAAATGAACAAATCTTACTTTGTGCTGCTCTTCCTCCTTTCTTTCTCAGGTGTTGGTAGTTCAATTAGGGGGCCATTACAGCCCCTCCTCTCAATAGCGTTAAAGCTGAGAGGAGCTAGAAATTTCTAAATTAGTTGCTGAAAATTTTCTGGGATGGATGGGTAAAAAGATTAGACAGGTTTCCTGTTTGCAGGTTTCTCTCCGGGCGCCGGCTTCCTGCCACAGTCTAAAATCATGACTGTTTGGGTAATTGGCCTCTAAATTCTCCTTAGATGTGAATAAAACATTAATTTTGTGAACAAAACGGTTGCACATCGGCTCAGTTGGGACAACTGTTGCCTTGCAGCAACAAAGTCCTGGGTTTGAATCTCCTCTCCCATAATTCTCTTCCCAAGAGCCTTTACTTCAGAATAAAGGCTCAGAAATAATTAAATGTATTTCTGACATGTAAATACAAAATGTCAGTCATTACATTTTGGAATTAAATTTCATAAATGACATCAAAAAGAAATTTGCAGGTTTCTCTTCCGGGCGCTCCGGCTTCCTGCCACAGTCTAAAATAATGGCGATATTATATATATAAAAAGATTAGACAGGTTTCCTGTCTAATCTTTAATCTTTAGACAGAAATATATAAATATATATATATATGGTGAAGACCACAGTGGTGCCTGTGATCATCGGGGCTCTCGGGTCAGTCACCCCCACACTGGATCAATGTCTACAACAGTATCATTCATATACAACATTATCAGACATCTCAGTCCAGAAATGTGCAGTCATTGGACCCTCAAGCTCCCAGGCCTCTGGTAGAGGATCACAGCTCAGAGGATAAGAACCACCCGCGGTGGGTGAGAAGGAAATTTTATTTTCTTATTATTATTTTAATAAAATGTGTTTTCCAAATCATGAATTCCATATTCGTTTTGACAATAAAACGTGATTGTTTGTATTTTTGACCACATCAAAGACTGAAAACTGTTTTATAATTTTGAGTAAAAAGTAAAAAAAAAATTTGATTGTAAAAAATAAGAGAAACAGACATTTTATTTGAGATTCAGAAGTAATGGGGAAAAGCAGTTTACATAAGTATTTAAAATACAAATAATGTTAAATAAGAATGAGGTTCAGTGGCTTTCTACAGGATCCCAGTCTTAGTCAGGTTAACAGGCAACGAAGGCAGAGGAGGGTCTAAAGGGATGACAGGTGCTGCACTGTGAAGACAGAGAGAGAAAAAAATCATATTAGAAATTATATTATGATAAGTCATGATAGGGGTGTGTGTGGTGTGCTGCTGTGGCCCACCTCATCGAGTGGCCCTGGAACCCGAGCGCAGTGATGAAGATGTTGATGAGGACCGTGAAGAAGACGAACACCGTGGCCACGTTGTTCATCGTGTCCAGCTTGGTTCGTTTCCGTTCGTCGTTCAGATCGTACTTCACTGCTGGCACGAAACAAAACCATGTAAACATCATTAAACTGTACAGAATGTCAGACATTTAAAACTCATTGAGACTGAAGGGTGGAAGCTGAGGTGTCTTTATCGCCCCCTGGTGGTTGTTTAGTGGTGAGCTCTAAATCTGTGGACCTTCAGGTCAGAGGACAGAACATGAGCTCCAAAATATAACCAAACCTGAGTCTAACATTTTAAAGAACTATCTTATTTTTACCCTTTTTTTTCTCTTCATGTTAAAACAATCAAAATGTAGATTTTCAAACGTGAGAAGTTTATGTAAAAAAGGACAAAATTTTATGATTTTTTTTTTTTTTTTTTTAGAAATTTCTCCACCTAAAATGACCCTGACACACTGTCATTAATAACTGATTATATTCACGTTACAAATAAAGTGGAGTTTTAAAGTATTAACTCATCAATCAATTAATCAATCAGTCATGTTTATTTATATTGCTTAGTATTCGCAACAAGGCAGTTCAAAGGTCTTTACGTCATGAAACACAAATTTAATGTTATTTTAGGAGGGCCGAGTGAAAACAGCCTGTGTGTGGATCCACTGATCCCCAGGAGACGGATGACTTTCAGCCCCAATTTTGTAATCCACACTCTCTGAAGTCAGAAATGTGCTTTGTCACAATGAACTCACTGTTATACGAACAATAATGGTGGTACAAAAGAAGAAAAGCATGGGAATCACTTGCCAATAAAGACGAGCAGCAGTCCCACCATCACCTGCAGTGAGATGGACAGGGCGAGCAGGACGATGAGAGGGATGTAGAATCGGTACTGTGGGCCCACATACAGGATGGTCTTCAGCTGGGACGAGTTGGCCATCAGCAAAGCAACATCCAGCATACTCTGAGCTGCACTCTTCTTAGTGGCATAGTGGTTCATGTCAAAGGAGTGAAGTCTTTTACCAGACTGACCCTGAAAGGTAAAGACAACATTCACTCTCACCAACATGTCACATTACTGGCAGGATCAGGATATTTGGAGATCTTCTTTCTGTGCCTCTGTGATTATTTTTCCAAACACCGTCGTGTTTTTGTATGTTATTCGTCTCTGTATTTGGGTGTGGCAGCATGAGGAATGAGAGAGCGGCGCTGCGACAGGTGATGACTCACCTGAGCCAGAGGAACAGGCCAGTCCCAGCATGTGCTGCGTTCTCTGTCGACATTTAAACCTCCCGTGTTTCATGAGCTACAACATGCATGTGCTGGAAGACACACCCCCCTCTACCCTGAGCTAAACCCACTGGCTTCCACAAGAAAACTAGTTAGAAACTCAGTTGAATGTTGTTTTCTTCATTAAATTCAAAGTTCAAATTATTATGGGAAAACTTTTTTTTTAAGCTTTCCTTAAGAAAAGTCTGCCTGTCATTGCATCTGATCTGATTAAAGTAGTGAACTCGTTCCTTCAGATTTTAAAGACAGTAGTTGTCAAAATTTTTATAAAAACACATCAGTTGAGATTACAAGCTTATATCAAAACTTAATAATAAAAAACTGTTTCAACAATTAAAGTTTCTTATCAAAGATAAACCACTTTGACATCTTTCTGTCTGGTTACCAGAGGACTGAGACTGCCCTCATCAAAGTGTTCAATGACAAACACTGTTGATCAGGACTAATTACTGAAACGACTGAAGACCCGGGTCAGACTCTGGTACTGGACCGAGTCCGGAAGCTGCATTCAGTTCAATCCAGAACAAAGTTTCAAAAAACTGCAGAAATGCTGAAACACTATAAATCAAGACTAAAACCCAATTTATCTAGAGTTAACTTTGATTATTAAATACTGTAGCACTGATTAATTATAGTCTGAATTCAAATGTTTCTTTTTTGTTTGGTTTGGTAAATGTTTTATGTTTTCATCACACAAAGTAAACTGAACTGACTTGCTGATTAAATTTACAATGCAAATTTAATAAACTTGATTTGTAAAAGTAAAAAGTGGTCTCCCTTTAAAAATCCACTTTTGAATACTTTTTGATACATTTTTAGCATTTTTCATATTACAGATTCCCATTTAAACTCAATGTACAAAGAACTAAAGAATAACATGCAGTCACATGCAATAAATTTAGCTTGGTTAATGTTACGGACAAGTAATTTAATTTCAATAGCTCAATTCACTAAACAAACACATTCTATGGACTGTGACTGATGTTTTAAAGACTTTGTTAATTATAATTTTGTTCTTGCAGCTGCGTTTAAGACATATTTTAATAAAGAAATAGAAAATCTGTTGTAGTCTCATGAGTTATAATTTTGTTGCTAAAACAACCGGGGTTGGTAAAAATAATTAAATTGTGAATGTGAAGAGAATATTTTAAGTTCAGCAGATACATTTTAGGACGTCTGGTCAGCACAGCTGTCTGCTTCTGGCCTCTGCTTCACTTTTCTCTGATGGAAACTTATGATTGCAACACAGTGACAGGGTGATACGTCACACTTGGGTGCCGCTGTCACTGCAAAGCTTTTGTTCACATAAACACAAAGCTTACAAGTGCGATTGCAATCGCCACAGTGATGAACAGACATGTCGTTTTCCCTGTAAAGATTCTGGAAGATACGGTTCCCGTCTGGGAGTGAAGATCCGTTAAAAAACATTCAGAAAACAGCCGTGGATGTCCTGGATTTGCTGCAGGAAAAGTGAATAGAGGAGCTGAAAGTCAGGTGTGGTCACATTCCAACCCCCCTGTTTTGAAGAGCAAGCTGACGTGACTCCTTTCAGTCAATGGGTTATTTACAGGTTAACCGCCAAATTTCTTACAGCCTCTCATGATTGTATTTGTGCTGTTGATTTTGTCTGTGGCACATCAAACCCCAAATTAATTCAGTAGTCAAACTACTGAAAATATAATTTATTTAAATATTTATCTGGGTTTTCCATTAAAGATTTCCTGAGTGTTTTGTTTGACATAAACTTATTTTGTTTACAGAATTAAAGGTATATTAGCTTTGATCCTGTGTTATATAATGAGATTGGGATGAAAAAAGCAGACTTACCTCGAAGTCCCCCATTGTGTTTATAGCCAGCTCCTCTCTGTTCATCCTGTGGTCTGAGGATCCGATATCTCCCTGCTGGGCTCAGACCGCCCTGCTGTAGCTCTGAGGAGCTGTGGAAACCTGAAGGTGTAAAACCCAACAAACCTGGCGACTCCACCTGTGTTTCAGCAACATGTCAATGCTCCTCCCATCAACTTTTTACCTCCAAAATCATCCTCCTGTTCTTCTCTCTCCCTTGCCTTTGTAAACACTGGATCAAGTAGAGTCACTTGCATCATCACTGAAAGCATTTAAAACATCACCAATCATGTTGGAGGCTGAGATGGAACCGTATTTGCTTGCATATTTGTTCTAGTTCATTTAGAACAGGGGTGGAAAAGAACATCACTACTCATTAATGTAATCAAGTACAACGTGTCTGTCTGTACTTTAAGCTGTGTACAAAAATTTAACTTTTACTTCTTGAGTTTGTTTTGAATTTTACTCAGATACATTTGAAATCATACATGTTAATGTGTGAACGCAACCTAGGGCTGCCTGGAGTCTTAGGCAGAAGGTCAAAGGTCAACATCAACAAGCAGTGGAAAGCTACTAAGATGAATGCTGAGATGCACCTGCAGTGCCTTTCAAAAAATTTAAAAAATACACATCTTATTAGTTTTGAATTTGTCATGTTTTATTATGTGTTGATTTTGTTTTATTATTAAAAAGAGTTTGAGACTGTTGTGGCTGATTCATCACCCAGGTCTGCTTCCCGTTTCAGGACCTGACCAGAACCTCTCAGTGTTGTTACACTGAGAAATAATGAGATTTGGTTAAGAATGAAACAGGCTTTTATGCTGAAAATGATCAAATGTTACAAGCTGTTCAAGTCACACAGATGAAACAGATGCAGAATTACATTCACTGTAATAATATAGAGCCACAACAACCTTTAAAAAATTGGGTTTAAGGATTTTTTATTATTTGTTTTGAAGCAGTCTTTATTCAGAGTGAAATGTTGACACCAAGTGTAACTGCAGAACATTTTTAAAATAGGAAGAGAATCCAGAGGTTTGAACTTTTCATGAATCCTATAAACACACATGTAGGATCAAATATTTATTTTATCATGATGAAGATTGAGATTCTAATCTATCTTTTCACGTTTAATGTTTAGTAGTCTTACAGCATGTGGGTTACATTCAGCACAGCTAAATATAGAAAAATAGGACATTTAATGATTAAAAATAAATAAATAAAACAGTTACTTGTTAGAACTACAGAGGACTCCAGTCCAGTAGGTGGCGGTAATTAACCTTCTGTATCCAACAGCCAACTAACTTGTCCAAGCTGCAGGAAGTGTACATGATGCACTTCCTGCATCATGTACAAGATGGCGGCTGGCCTGCTGACCCTTAGGGTGCTGAGAGCATCTTCAGGTTTCTGCCGCCGGACTCCGGCTGCCGCCGGCGGACTCCGGGCGGCTTCCTCCGACGCTCCACAGGACAAAAGAGCCGTTATAACGGAGTCCACGGAAGAATACAAGTTCGTGGAACGACTCATACCACCAACACGGATCCCTGACCCGCCTAAACACGTCGGAGCCGCTCCGTCGGGCTGGATCCCCCCGGCTGAGTCCCCGCCGCCTCTGCCCTACATGATCCGCCGCTCCCGCATGCACAACATCCCGGTGTACAGCGACCTGACCCACGGGAACCGCAGGATGACGCTGGTACGGAAGGTGGAAGGGGACATCTGGGCTCTGGAGAAGGACGTGAGGCAGTACCTGAGACAGGTGACCGGGAAGGAGTTACCCACGCAGGTGAATGAGGTGACGATGACTCTGAAGGTGAAAGGTCACTTTGAGCAGGAGCTGAAGGACTGGCTGGCCAGCAGAGGCTTCTGATCGAGGAAGAGGAGGATGCAGCTGAAAGGACATCTTCATCAGTTATCTTTAAAGGACTGCTGTCAGTTTCCGGTCAACCAGAAGACTCTTCCTGTCAACAAACACGTTTTATTTTGTTCTGTTAAACCTTTAAAGCGAGATTAAAGAGAAAAGCATCACAAACTGTGTTGTGTTCATAAATGACTTGGATTTTTTCTTTTCATAAAATCAGTGAAGATTCTTCAGCTTTTTTTCCAATTGATATGTGAATTATTTTAAGCTCAATGCTAGGATTGTATTCTGGAGGAAAAGGTGACCGGATTGCACCGATTGCAGTTTTCTAGCTGATCACTGATCTGTAAAAAACCTGACCTTGTGATACCAATTTTTTTATTTACATATGACTGACACTGAGGTTTTAAAAGGTTATAATACACTCTCAATGTTCCAGTCTTATTTTAGTAAAAAACAGCTAAACAATACAAACTTGTTTAAGTGTTTATTTGATCTTTATCAGCCAATGGCTTCTCTTCCTCAGGCCCACAGGAAGAGTAGTAATATGTTACTAACATGTTAGTCACATAACATGTGAAGTGTAGTTTTTTGTAATAAATGCTCTCAAATATAAAAGTTTGGACCAATGGTGGCTAAACCACAAATAAAAAAAATAGTTTAGTTTTTCACTCACTGCTCACAATAAGTGCAGTAAGATGGGTTTTTTTGGTGTTGTCATAGAAGGATCCAAAAACAACAGAAGTCACTAGATTTGTCGCTAGTTTCTTTAAAAAAAAAAGTTGCAAACTTGGCAACAGTAGTGTGACTTAATTCCACATGCAACTGATTTAGAGGTAAAAGTTTTACAGCCGTCAGACTTAAAACAGCACTTATTTTAGTTTCATCCATGAACGTATATTTTATCTGCATAACATAAAATTAAGGAGCCCAACATCAAAATGATGGGAGTTCATGGAATGAACTGAGGTCAAAAATTACTGTTCAGTATTTGATCTGTTTCCATGAAGAACTGTTGGTTTTTCAATCCAAGATGACTGATGTCTGCATGTCTTGTTCTGAGCTTCACTGAAACCCAGTGATCTGCTTTAAAGTGCTGGATGAAGCAGAAGTTTTTCAAACCTTACATATTTTTTGTTTTCATTCACAATTACTTTATAACAAATCTGCAGGAGTTACAGCTCAAACTTCAAATCTTTATTTTCACGTAGAGATATACAATTATTTACAAGTTGGAGAGTCCTGGGTGAATCAGGATGTTTGCTAAATCGTGAGCTCTGAAAGTTGAATTGAGGTGACAGCAAATAGCAGCTCATAATTCATAATGATGTTAACCTTTTAAAATCTTCACCAGTCTGGTCATATTCCTCACACTGCATGGCTTCAGACTGAGCAGCTGATCCTGATCAGGGTTTTAGGATCTGCTCCATGTCAGAGCTGTGATGATGATGATGATGGTCAGGTGTGGCGTTGTGAGGCCATGTTCTCAACCCGCTGGCTGATCTCCTCCAGTTGATCCGCTGAGGAACACAACAGCGGATATTAAACCAGGAGCAGAAAACTGCAGCTCTTAATAATCACAATCATCTTTATTGGCCTGTTTGGCGCGGCAGTCGACATACGGAGTGTGTGTTTCTCTCCTCTGCTCCAGTAGCGAGGTTGTGTCTGTAGACCTTTCACCTCCTCGCTTACACACCCTGAAGCTTCACGTATTTCCTTCTGCATTTCCAGCTCCTGGATAATAACAGAGATGAGAACAGATTATGTTTGGTTTGGGCTTATGCTGTTGAGCCTTTTCTGTTTAATTTAAAGATTAGACGTTTTACAGGTATTACATGACATTTTATAGCACAATCAAGTTACTGTTACCTTCAGTTGTTAAAATGCTACATATTAAATATGACTTCAAAGAAATCTGACTGAGTTGTCTTACAGCTCCTATATATGCTTTGTGTGTTCATAATTTACCACCTTTAGATTGGACTTCTGTCTCTTTAAAAACTCCTGCTTTCTGACACTCCATCTTCAGGACACCATCAAAGCATGTCTCCTCTATCAAGCCTTTGACAACATTTTTACAAGTATTGTGCTAAAATGTAGCTTGCATAAAGAGTTCAGCAGGTGTGCAGCTACACCAAGTGTTTGCTAATTGCTGCTGGCTAGTCTGAAGGAACTGAGTGAGGGAGGGCTACTGTGTGAAGCAGAAGATCAGAAGTTTGGAAGCTTACAAACTGCAGATGAGGTGGAGCTGCACCTCAAGGGCGGCAGTAGGTCCAGCTAGGCATTTTGCACAGCTGAATGGCAATTCAAGAATTTCTCAAAAATGCAGGAATTAAGTGAATACTCTTGACATAACATGATATAAAGCTCTACAAAATTGATTTGTCACAGTGGATCCCCAGTATAAGAATTTGGTACCGTGTTGCAGGCCAGCAGCTGCTGCTGCACCCTCTGGAAGAGGTCGGTCTCTGCGCTGAAGCTGGGAGGGTCTCTGCCGCAGTAGACCCTCAGGTCTGTCTCGTACAGATGACTGAAGGTCATCATCTGTTGCTGGAGGTCGCCTGCTGCTAAACGTAGCGAGCTCGGTGAGAGAGCAGCAAGGTTCTCCTCAGTGCAGTTCAGGAAGTCACACTGAGAATGACAACACGAGACCGAGGTGAAAGTCAGAACCGCTGGCTGCTCTTGGGTTATGTTAGGAATTCATGCACAGTAATAACCAGTTGTGACTGGTTCATATGTAAAGCTATACTGGTACATCACTATATTTTCTACAGTAACAATTCATTAATACTTCAAACCAAGAAACATTAGTTGTACATGAATGTGTCACAAGATTTGTCAAAATAAAGGAAATCTGAGTTTATGATCCAAAGATTTCCGTCCGATTGGAATCTTAAGGTGGACGTTGCTAAATGTGGTGAAAACAGTGAAGTTCATGCTTCAAACAAACTAAGCTGTCAGGATGCAGCAAACTACTAACTTTTCCAGTGGTGCACCAATTGCACTTTTCTGGCCAATCATCAATCTTAAAAATAAAAATGATCTGCTGATTTTGTTTTTGGCCAATATCTATTTTTTGTGTGTGTAAAAAGTCACTAAATATAGTGACAAAATCACTAAGGTGAAGCAGTGGCTGATTCTCAGAGCTCTCAAACCGATTTTGTCTCATGTCAGTGCATTTTTCTCTCTCATCCAGACAAAGTTCTCCTGCAGGTGGTTTTACCTTGGACTGCAGCTGCTCCAGTTGTGTCTGAGTGGACTGCAGAAGGTCAGAAACATCTGGAAACTCTTCTCCTGCCTTAGGAGCCGACTCTGGGACTTCATACAGAGCTCTGTGGGGGTCAGATGAAGGAATACACTGCAGTTTGTTAAATCACTTTTACTCTGATAAAAAGTAAAAATGATTCTGAGTAAAAAAATAATCTTTCTGAATTATGAATTTTTACTGGTTTTAAAATGACATTGTAAGCATTTACAATTCTAATTTGATTGAATGAACAGTGCCTGAGTGTCACCAGTTGCATTTATTAACTGGGATGGAACCAAACTGCTGGTTGGATCTGGTCCAATTGTGCTTAACACATTAGTGCAGCAGACGTACTCGATGTGAGCAGGCCAGGGATCCAGCGCCGGCTGGAGCATCTGTCTGAGGTGAGGCAGATTCTCTGCAGCAAAAATCTCACTCAGCAGCACCTCTACGTCGGTTCTGCGCCCAGCAGAACCGGCAACAAGAGACAACAGTTGTTCCAGGAAGCCGAGCTGTCGCTGAGGGCTGGCTTTGCCCTGGAAGAACAGCAGCGATGTAGATGAGACGTCGACGTTAACTCACAACCTGACGGCTTTCATTCAACCTCAACTCACCTTGATCAGATCCAAGTCGTCTGCTTTGCACAGCATCAGCTCCTGACCCATCACAGCTATTTCTGTTTCCACATAATAAATAGCAACAACAAAGTATTTAGATTAGTCTGAAACATTTTTTTATGGAGTAAATGGAGTAAAGCCACGCTCACTTTTCTCTAAGCCGTCAGGATCCTTGGACTCTGCAGACTTTGCTTCAGAAGTTCCAAACTTGGGGTTGATTCTGAAAAGCAAAATTATGACAAGGGATCACCGTGCATCTGTTAATGCCAGTCAATTTTCCAGTGATTCAGCGAGGAGTACGGTGCACGTACCTGCGGCAGATCCATGTCAGGATGTCTGTGCGGAGCGTCGAGGGGCGACACAGCAGCTCCAGCATGCTCTCCTCCTCCTGCAGGTACAGGTCCTGCACCAAGGGACACGACAAAGCCTCCAAAACAAAACACCTTCACTAATAAGTTCTCTTTATAAACTAAAGAGGGAAGTTGGTGAGTTTCACTTGTAAGTTGATTGCATAATAATAGTAAATTGTGGACAGAATTATACATAAAGCACCCTGTGATTAATATTAGTTGAAATATTAATAATTACTTCAGATTTATCTTCTTTATGTTTAGAACTATATAATAGCTTCCATGAGGAACAAAAATGTTCTCACCTATCAACTACATACACAATATTTTTATTAAACAATAACAGTGGCCTCTTTTTCTCTCTTCTGGAGACAAAACACATTTATTACAGGACATTTCTTCACAGTTCTGCTGTGTTTCTATAAGGAGGCTGTGAACGACAGATCACCGCCTGATGTTGACAAGAAAGTTTCACTTAAACAAGTCACTGAACAGCAAAGAGTCTTTCAGGACGAAATGAAGAGCAACCTCGAACTAACTTTAAAGATATGTTCAGATTTGAAAGTTTCTACAAACATTCATCTGATCTCAGTTAAACATCATTAACATAACGGGGTGGTGGAAACTATTATTATTAGGCATTCAGAGCCGAACCAGTTTAAGAGAGTATCATAACATTAAACAATGGTCTGACCCAAATTAACTTTATTTACCTGCAGTGAGTCATAAACGCGATGAGCAAAATGTTTATCTGTGAAACCACCCGCCATTTTCCCACTTGAATCTCTGGCTTCCGCCTTCTTCTTCTTCTTGGGTTTTATGGCGACATTTAAATGTTATATCGCCATCTACTGTCCTGGAGTTTTTTGCCTAAACTAAATTCATATTCACAATCCAGTTTCATTTAAAAATGTAATAAATGATTATTTATATTGTCATGTTTAAGTAATACCTTAATACCATACTCTCATATGAGCTTGAGTGACATCCCATTCCTAACCCATAGGGATCAATGTGAAGTCAGTCCAGCCTTTGCATCTAGAACAGCTTCAACTCTTCTGGGAATGTCGTCCACAAAGTTCAGGTGTGTGTTGATGGAGATTTGTGACCATTCTTCTTGAAGACCATTTGTGAGGTCACATACTGATGTTGAAGGAAAAAGCCTGGCTCTCAGTATTTGTTCTAATTCATCTAATTCAAGTGTTCTGCACAAAAGTAAGGCCAATCAAGTTCATCTACGACAGACTCTGCCATCCAGGTCTTTATGGACCTTGCTTTGTGCACTGATGAACAGTCATGTTGGAAAAGAAAGGGCCCAACTCCAAACTGTTCCCACAAAATTGGAATTGTTCAAAATGTCTTGATGTGCCAAAACATTCAGAGTTCCTTTCACTGGAACTTAGGGGCCAAACCCATCATAATCCCTCCTTTAGTATACTTTACAATTGACAGAATGCAGTCAGACAAGAACTGTTCTCCTGGCAACCGCCAAGCCCAGACTTGTCCATTAGATTTCCAGAGTGATTAATCATTCCAGAGAATAAGCCTTCACTGTTCCAGAGCCCAGTGGCTTTGCATTGCATTTGGTGATGTATGGTTTGGATGCAGCTGTTCGATCATGGAAACCCATTTCATGAAGCTTTCTCTTGAGGTAGTCTGAAAGACACATGAAGTTTGGAGACCTGTAGTGACTGACTCTGCAGAAAATTGGCAACTTGTTTGCATTTTGTGCCTCAGCAGCCACTGACCATTTACTAGCACTTGGAGGCGGAGTTGCTGTCATTCCCAAACACTTTCACTTTCTCATGACACAGCTGACAGTTAACTGTGAAATATTTAAGAGTGAGGAAATTTCACGACTGGATTTGTTATAGAGGTGATATCCTATCACAGTTCCACGCTGTAATTCACTGAGCTCTAGAGAGCAACCCTCTCTTTCACAAATATTTGTAAAAAAAAAAGTCTGTATAATTAGATGCTTCATTTTATACACCGGATTTTGATCATTTGGATGGGTGAGCAAATACTGTTGGCAATTTAGTGTTTAGATACATATGCAGTTAAAACATATTTTAAAGATAAACTCACGTTTATTTAAGAAAAGTCATTTTTGGGTGGAAACTTTTCAAGATGAGCTCCAGTGAAGTTGCAAAATTCCAAGTAAATTTGCTTGTTATCTCTCATAAAAAATGCTATAAATAATCATTGGAGCTGAGAAGCAGGAGTCAAGGTTTCTAAGAAGGAAGTCCTTCTTAAAAAATATAACGTTGCAGGAGTTTTTAAATTGCAGTGGGATGCAAAAGTATTCAGATCCCTGGAGCCTTTCCATATGTTGTCACATTTACAAACACAAATATAAAATGTATTTCATTGGAGTTTAATGTGAAAGACCTACAAAACATTGTATACAATTGTGAAGTGGAAAGAAAATTATATATGATCTTCATTATACATTCAAAAATGTTTCCAAATAAAAAGTGAAAAAGTATCCAGTCCCCTTTTGCCTTCAAAAGTTACCTGAAGATGGTTAGTGATTAAATAGAATCCATCTGTATGTAAAATAATCTCATTACAAATACAGCTGCTCAGAGGTTGGTTAATGTGATCTTAAAACTTGCAGATGAAATTATTAATGAGGTTCAGAGTACTCAGGTTTCTTACAGAACTACATAAAATGACATGATTTGTTGTACAATACCTATATCCATTCTGGATTACACAAACTCTCAAATTAAACAATCAACAGTTGAGTGGACATCGCTTTCTTGTGCAATTTCACTCAATTTAAATCTCCCTTAGCCTAGTCTGGGCTTTCTCCCCTTCACTTGGGTTGTCTCTGGTATAATTTCAATTTGGACCAATCAAAAAACAGAAAGAGAAGATATGAACAACCACATTGATATTTGGCATTGTTTTAGAATTATAGTCTGCCCTTAGTTTTAGCCATTTGCAGCAGAGGAACAAAGCTGCTCAGTCTGTGTTGGTCGCTTCCACTCATCTGTTGTTGTGTTGTTGGGCAAGACAGTTCATCTGCTTCACCTGCTGGTGGTCAGAGGACCTGGTGCTGCTGGTGGATGGCAGCCTCTCTTCTGTCAGACTGCAGTAGGAAATCTGTGGCTTGCAACCATCAGCTTGATTGTGTGAATGACTGAGTGTAGTCTGAAGTACTTTGGTGCCTCTCATTTTCATAAAGTGCTGTACAAGTACAAGTTACTGTCCATCACCTAATCTAATCATTCTGGGTTACAGTCACAGATCTGATACTTCGACATTGAACAGTCAAGTTCTACATCTTTTTCTCCTGTGCAGTGTGATGGATGTAGGGTGATAACCATGGATGGTGGAGAAAGGATGTTGAGTTTTAGCTGCTCTTTCTGATCACTGTAAAAACAAAGGATCAGTATCTAGTTTGGTTCTACTCAGACCCTGAATCATTTGATCTGCAGTGATCAATAACTTTCATCCATGTGTTTAGTTTGTGGTTTCTTGCACTGTACATAGAAAATAAAAAAAAGACACCAAATCAATTAAATATTGATGGAAACATTCAGAGCAAACAGCTCAAGCAGAATCAGATCAGTTTGATTTGTTTTCCTGACAGAGAAAAATCTATGTTTTTCCTGAATAATGCCCAGAAAAACAATCGGTCTGATATTATTCAAGGAAAGAACAAAATTATTCTCACCTGGTCCATTCAAACAGTCTTCTTCTGGTTTGCCCTTTTGTGTAGAAGATAAAACAAATTATTTGGTAAAATAAATATTGGCATCAATATCTGTTCACATTACAGTTCAGTTATGAACCTACTTACCAGTTCTTGTTGATTTGAACAGCTGTCTGTTAAAAATGAAATGTTACAATTATTAAAACAGTAAATCTTTTTTAAATGCTCAGAATTTAATTTACATTTATTCATCTCACTTGGTTTTTTGCTTTTTTTATATCTCCAGATTAAAACACCACCAATCGCTGCTCCACCTAAAACTAATAAAACCACCAGAACAAAGATCACAACTCCTGTGTTGTTGGAACTTTTTTCTCCACATTCAGCATCAGTTGAAGATGTTCCTGCTTTTATCAGCTGCAGGTTTTCTTCTTCACATCTGAAATAATAAACATGAATCCTGGTAAATTATTTGGTAAAACATCATCCTGAGTTTATGCTGCTTTTAAGATACCAGCTTACTGTCTGTGTGGCTGACATGAAAACATTGATCCATCAGAAAATGATCCACTGCTGCATTCAGAGCATTCTGTGTCTGTGGAGGCTGTTCCTGTATAAACACAAACCAGTTTAATGTTAGTCAGAGGATTTTGATCTGACTTTCAGTTCTGATTAACAAGTTTATTCTTTTCAAATATTCAAAAGTCAGAACATTGCTTCTAAAATTCAGAGAATGAGATGAAGAGAATCAGACCAACCATTCCTGCTGATGTACTGTCCTGGTTCACAGCTCCTATGTATCTGTGCTACAGCACAACCTTCTGATTTAAGGTCTGTACAGAAGAATCCCTCCATTGGTTCACAAACTGTGTCTGCAATTAGTTTACATCCTAGCTTTTCCTTCAGACCAGCTCCTGTGAACATATACAGATTACACATGTATGGAGGAAACTAACACCAACATGATGAACCTTTAAGTGACACAGAAGAGCAGAAATATTAGAATAATTCAATAATTATGTTTGTGTTCAAAATAATAGCAGTTCAACATCACTAAGATTAGTAAAGACTACAGAAATTATATTTCTGCATTCTAAATAAATTTGAATCTTTTTCCAATCATGACATGAATGCTGCTCATTCTGTTCAATAACATCATTTACTGAAATTAGCGAGATGAAAAGGATCAACCACGTAGAGTAAGTGGGATATTTTGTCTGCACCTGAATCACAGGTAGAACATGGATTGCATCTCTTTAGTCCGTTAAGCTGGTCCATGAAAGTCCCATCTCTGCAGGACGAACAGGACGTAGTTTCAAGCTCTGTGCAGTCTGCTTTGACTCTTTTACCTGTTGGAAAATAAAGAGTTTCTCAATTTAAAGCATAGGATGATCCTCTGTATGATGAACAAACTTCAGGCAATGGAAGCAGTGAGACTGTAACGAGGTATTTCAGAATAAAACGTCTATATCATTTCAAGGAACAAGATGTGTTGCAGGATGAACAAGATTCAGGCAATGAAAGCAAGCAGAGTCTCTATGACAATAATCAGTCATTTATAACTAACTGGAACATACCAATAGGACACATAACACAGCACTTCTCTCCCATCTTGTACTCAGTTTGATGACATGTGATTGAATCGACTCTGAAGTCTCTCATCAGAATCATCTGTGAAAAGGTTTTTCAAAGATTAGAACCAATTTACTGTAGAAAGGCTCAAATCCACTTTTCATTAGTTATTTCTTTGCCTTGTTTTGATTAACTTTAGCAGTTCAGTTTTACCATATTAATTTATATCATCATTTATAATGTTAGGTTAGCTTTTAATAGAGGTCAACCATTTTATAGCATCAGTTACAATTATTGATTCTAGCTCAATTATCTATAAAGTTTCAATTCACAACAAATTTTATCTCAAGAAATATTGCAAGATTATTTACTGTATATCCAGAAACCAACAATCTATACAATTTAGTTCTAGAGATCTAAATTTGATGGCACGCAGATTCCTTCTTTTTGCTTTTCTGTCAAACCTAAAAGTTTCAGCTTATAAAACATTTTAAGAATCAGACAAACATAACCTGAGTGAATGCAAAAGTTGTTTTTTTAATGGAAAAATTAAAGTACATAATTTAAAAACTACTAATATACAAAGAATGTACTCTGCAAGATAAGTAAATATAACGTATTACATTTCACCTGTGTCACTTGAATACATTGAGCAACACTTTTAGACATCTTAAAATATGTATTTTTTTTGTAGACCAAAAAAAAGGATACAAATAAATTTGTTTTCTTAATATATTGATGTAATAATGAAGACACTGAAAGTTCAAATCAGCCATGAAATTACCATTTTTATAAGAAACAATATTGTATTAAATGATCCATTACTAAATAGATTTACCAGGAGCACGAGCGTCGCAGCACAAGTTTTTCTTCTTGAAATCATTCTCCAAGGTCGGAGTGAACTTCTCTGCAGCTCAACAAATCCAAATTTCTGAGCCTGTAAAAGAAAGTGAAAGCATGAGGGTGTGGTGCCCTTCAAGTATCAACAGCAATCACTACATTTTCCTCAAGTTCAAGATAACACAGAAGAAAGGAATTCATTATAATTACATATTCTTTAATTTAATTCCAAATAACATTCACTTGTATTCATCTTGGTGCAGGTGAACCTCTGCACTACGGTGAACACGTGTCCGTTTAGACATGTGTTTGACATGGAAATGGACATTCTTAAAAAGAAAATTAACTTTATTTTTGTTGTGTCACACTGAGATTGGTTGTGTGACACCAAAATGAGCGCTTGGTGCAAAACCTCACAGACCCCCTAGTCAGGAAAACCTATTTCCTCACAGTTACATCACACAGAAGATAAGGAAACAGATTTTTGCTCAACAAAGCAGTTTGAAAGAGACTTCAACCCCCAGCAGCAATTATGACCTTTGTTTACGATCCTTAAAGTGTCAGAGAGAAAATAGACATGCAGGAATCTGCAGCCAGTGCAGAAAATACAGCAGGTTCTGCTATAATGCACAGAGGTTAAAAATGACACCATAGACACCCAAAATTAACTTAAGATTAACACACCATTATATTTGTGAAGGTATGTTTGTTGAATTTACATGTAAAATAACTTGGGTTCATTTTGTCAGCTGAATGTGAGTCACTGGTATTATGATCAGCAAACAGCCATTATTCCCAGCTAAACCTCAACTGTTCTCTGCTGTTACTGAAGTCTGTGACGTAGATGGATTTTGAAATGAATCCTTAGTCACGCAAACACACACACACACGCACACACACACACACACACGCACGCACGCACACGCACACACACACACACACACGCACACGCACACACACGCACACATAACAAACTTACCTTCAGGAAAATTTAAATAACGACTGGTATTTACATTCAAATAAATAAATAAATAAAACGAAGTTATTTTATATGTAAATTCAACAAACTTATCTTCACAAACATAAACTCCAATGACTGGTTTCTCTTTCAGTTCCGCATCTTGTGCCTTTATAATGGCGTTTAATATTAAGTTAGTATAGTGTGACTTTGGCTCGACTTCCAGATCTTTACAGCAGAAACCTGGACTGAACAGTCAGCTCTGTCCCTCTATTGTCTCTACATGTGACATAGACAGGTGTATTTATATACCTGCACCGAAACTGTTCTATTTGCCTTTGCGCACACGGAGCAGGAGATGATCAAGATGTCTGCGCCAAAATGATACGTTGAACTTGTTATCATTTTATAAAGTCAAAGGTATTTTGTTACTTCATCGTTAATTTAGAGGGTTACGGAACAAATGAAACATTCATAGTTCCCTTTATAAGAAGATAATCACATAGGCGTAAACTCGATTCAACTCTCATCATAATCAATCGGCTCTCAACAAGTAAAGGTTGATCGTCTCCAGACGTCCTGTTAAAACTCATTTCCTGTCATTGCTTCATGCTCCAAAGTCTGCTGCAAGCTAAAAAACCACATTCCTGAATTCATCACTCTTGCTAAACACATTGCTGCATCTATCTGGATCACATGAATGAATGGCTCACACAAAGCCCTTACTGTTAGGACACAGGTTCCTCTGCGTCTTTTCGCCTCTCCGCTGCGCCCAGGCGGCAAAACACGCGCGTGCTCAACATGAGCGCTGCTTGTTCAGCACGTTAACTTATTGGCCGCTCCAGACCGAGTTGGTGAGTTGCTTTGAAAATGATTAGTTTCATTATCTTGTGTTCTTTAGTCCTATTCTTTGATCAGATCAAAACAGAAACTAAATCAGTCCAGTTTGTTTTGCTTTAGTGTTTCTAGTTTTGTGCTTTATAACTGATTTTATTCTTTCCTTAGTCTAGTTATTCTTCAGATTTGTTAGATTTATTTCCTGTTCTCCTCTTCCCCACCCTCTGTGCCATTTTCTCTCTGGATCCACTCACACCTTCAAACTGCCAGTCAATTAGCTCGATCCTTTGTTTCAACATTCAACCTCCCAATACTCACATCTCTTCATCTGTCTCTCCTCACTGGTTCCGTCCATGCCTCCTTTCTGGAATGTTTCTGTTTAGATTTCTTTGGATTTATGATGTTTTCTGTTCCGATCTCTGTATATTTTTTGTAAGATTTATATATTTTTAAATTACCTACTCCAAATCTCTGTCGCATTTGGATCCTCCATCAACCAACCAACAAATCATGACACTTGCCTAAATATACTAAAATACAAACAGAATAACCAAAGTGACAACTGGCAGATCTAAATTTATAATTTCCATTTAATCAAGCAGTAGGTAGGAAAGGATTCAAAACATTTTTTAATAATAATCAGTTTTTATTTTCATAACATTAAAATACCACATAGAACATTATATTCTGCTCAATAATCAACTGAAAAAGTTTAACTGATGTTGAAGGGGCATTTTAATGCATTTTTTGTGCTATTTTATAGCTAATAACTGCAACTGTTACCTTCAGTCATTGTAAAAATGTTACATGTCAAACATAAAAAAAATTGACTTAATTTCATCAATCAATAAAAATCAAATATTATTTGTATAGCACATTTCATCAGCAAGGCATTCAAAATGCTTTACAAAATAACCACAAAAACACAAAGTCCTGCAACATTGAAGCAACAATCAAAAACATGACATTATGTCACGTTCCATCATTAAATTTGTAACTGATTAAGTTTCAAATACAATTCTAACTAGGTAGTCGAGATGCCTTAATTGAGTTTCTATCTCTTTAAGAAACTCCTGCTCTTCCCAACTCTCCGTCTTTAGCACATCATCACAACAATGTTTAATTATTATCCCATTTGCAACTGTTCTTAGTTGCTTTTCACTGTGAAGTGGTTCACATAATAAGCTCAGCATAAGCTCACATAATAAGCTGGTTGAGATTCTCATCAGACTGAAGGCAGGACTCTGGCTGGGCTGCTCCACAATGTTAACTTTACTTTAAACCTCAATACAGAAAAAGATGGTGCTCAACTGTTTGTGTTGAATATGTACACCTTTGAGCATCTAGACAATCTGTGTATCTGTCATCGACTCAATAAATAGTCTTTTTGTTAATATCAGACTTATTTCATTCAACACCACCAGAATCTATATTGTCAACTTGTGGCCCATGTTGTTGTACTTTGTACTGTCAGAAACAGAACATTCATGATAGCAACTATCCTAGTTTCAGAAAGTTTTCTTTCACTCTCAGCTGGGATCAAATTAGATTCTCATCTAAAGTTACATCTATAGTCACCACAGAGCAGAACAATTAACTTATTAACAACACTAGTAATTCACATCTTCACCACTTTGCTACAAAGGTCATTATGGTGAAGTAACTTTTTGGGCATTTTTTAAATGATGTTATTTAAAAAAAGGAAATGTTATGTACAAAGTTATGCATTCATGCATTTTTAATCTATAAATAAGAAAACACAACAAAAACTGCAATATCAGATGTTCAGATGTAATATTAGATGTTCAGATGTAATATTAGATGTTTTTTTAAGGCTTTCATTAAACCTAAAAACATATTAGCAATATTACAATTTCATGTCAGGTTCTTGTGGATAAAGTCCCTAAGATTCTGAAAAAGCAGGTTTCTTAAAAAACTGTACAAATGACAGTTTCATTTCACATGGAAATACTGATTTACTGGTAGGACTTTGCCCTGCAATCAGCAGGTTGCTGGTTCTATCCTGGCTCCACCTGCCTCTGTCGTTGTGTCCTTGGGCAAGACAGTCCACCAGTCTTGTCTTGCTGAAGACAGTTCACCTGTCTTGCTGAAGACAGTTCACCAGTCTTGCTGAAGACAGTCCACCTGTCTTGCTGAAGACAGTCCACCTGTCTTGCTGAAGACAGTCCACCTGTCTTGCTGGTGCTGATCGCTGCTGGTTCAGTCTCTGCTCCATTCATCTCTGTTGTTGTGTCGTTGGGAAAGACAGTTTATCTGCTTCACCTGCTGGTGGTCAGAGGACCTGGTGCTGCTGGTGGATGGCAGCCTCTCTTCTGTCAGACTGCACTAAGAAATCTGTGGCTTGCAATCATCAGCTTGTGTGTCTGTGAATGATTGAGTGTAGTCTGAAGTACTTTGTTGCCTCTGACCTTTATAAAAAGCTGTACATGTAGAAGCCAGTTACTGTCTATTATCTAATCTAATCATTCTACAATCACAGATCTGATACTTCGACATTAAACAGTCGAAATATCTTACGTCCATGTGATGGATGTAGGGTGATAACCATGGCTGGTAGAGAAAGAATGTTGAGTTTTAGCTGCTCTTTCTGATCCCTGTAAAAACAAAGGATCAGTATCTAGTTTGGTTCAACTCAGACCCTGAAACATTTGATCTGTAGTGATCAGTAATTTTCTTCCATGTGTTTAGTTTTTGGTTTCTTGCACTGTACATAGAAAAGAAAAAAGACACCAAATCGATTAAATATTGATGGAAGGCAATGAGTTTGATTTCCTTCTTAAGAGAAAAATATCTGTTTTTCAGAATAATGCCCAGGAAAACAATCAGTCTGATATTATTCAAGAAAAGAGAAAAGTTCTTACCTGATACAGTCAAAGGGTATTCTTCTGGTTTGCCCTTTTGTGTAGAAGATAAAACAAATTATTTGGTAACATAAATATTGGCATCAATATCTGTTCACATTACAGTTCAGTTATAAACCTACTTACCAGTTCTTGTTGATTTGCACAGCTGTCTGTCAAAAGTGAAATGTTACAATTATTAAACAGCAATTCTTTTTTAAATGCTCAGATTTTAATTTACATTTATTCATCTCACTTGGTTTTTTGGTTTTTTGATATCTCCAGATACCAATCACTGCTGCTCCACCTAAAACTAATAAAACCACCAGAACAAAGATCACAACTCCTGTGGTGTTGGAACTTTTTTCTCCACATTCAGCATCAGCTGAAGCTGTTCCTGCTTTTATCAGCTGCAGGTTTTCTTTTTCACATCTGAAATAACAGATACATAAATCCAGGTCAATCACTTGGGAAGACATTATCCTGTGTTCATGCTGCTTGCAAGAGACTAATCTTACTGTCTGTGTTGCTGACTTGAAAACACAGTTTCATCAGAAAATGATCCACTGCTGCATTCAGAGCATTCTGTGTCTGTGGAGGCTGTTCCTGTATAAACCAGTTTAATGTTAGTCAGAAGATTTTGATCTGATTTTTAGTTCTGATCAACAAGTTTATTCTTTTCAAATGTTCAAACTCAGAATTAATCTAAAAATCAGAGAATATGTTGAAGAAAATCAAACCAACCATTCCTGCTGATGTACTGTCCTGGTTCACAGCTCCTGTGTTTCTGTGCTACAGCACAACCTTCTGATTTAAGGTCTGTACAGAAGAATCCCTCCATTGGTTCACAAACTGTGTCTGTAGTTAGTTCACAGCTTAGCTTTTCCTTCAGACCAGCTCCTGTGAACATATACAGATTACACATGTATGGAGAAAACTCATTATCAGTGGCCACTGCCTCTCACCTAGCAACCCATGCAGAGTCTGGGTCTTATGTCCCACTGGTCAAATATGTCCCTCTGTACTATTGCACATCTGTTTCCAACCATTTTCACATGTATAAAGTGAGAAAACAGTGATTTGGAGGGCGTGGCCAGCTCATTCTGAAAGGACCTCAAAATAGGCAGACATCAAAGGTGAAATGTCATCATTTGAGAATACATTTTGTGCAAGAAATGTAATGAATATGTTCTATATAGCCCATACCTATCATAACAAGAAAGCATAATAGGTCCATTTAAAGAAAACAAAAACATCACAGCAGAATAGATGTGACTTTGTGGATTCTAAGTAATTAAATAATTAACTAAAAGTAATATGATGAGCAACAACAAGAGTTCAATCAGTGAGGTCATTTTCTCACATTTATTGGAAGATAAAAGCCATTCTGAAGATCTTAGGTAATACTCAATTTTTTTAAATTCAGTGCAAATATTTGGTTGTAAGCAGATTTTCCTATGGAAAATAAAATAAAATAAAACAAAAAAACAAGTTGAAAAGTAACAGTCAAGGAACTGCACCTGAATCACAGGTAGAACATGGATTGCATCTCTTTAGTCCATTTGGCAGGTCCATATAAGTCCCTTCTGAGCATTTCTGGCAGGATGTGCTTTTAAACTCTGTACAGTCTATTTTGACACGACTCCCTGTTGACAAAAAAACAGTTTTTCATTTTAAAGAGCAGAATGGTGCTTTGCATGATGAACAAAATTCAGGTAATGAAAGCAGCTTAACTGTAACAGAGTCTGTATCAGAATAAACAGTAATTCATAACTGAGACGTACCAGCAGGACACACAGAACAGCATTCATCACCTGTCCTGTACTCAGTTATATGACATGTGGCTGAATCGACTCTGAAATCTCTCATCAGAATCATCTGTGAAGAAAAAGAACAGTTTTTCTATCACTATTTTTTTCCTTGTTTTGATTATTTCCTTTAGCAGTTCTATATTAGTGCCACATTAATAGCTGGACAGACAGACATTTAATTTGTTATTTTTGAAGCAATGAAGATTTTTGAAGGTTATAAAAGCCTGATTCCACCTCAAGGTTACAGTCTGTGATCATTTACATTTTCTTTACATTTATTCTTTACATTTACAACAAAATAAAAACAGAACACAAAGAGGGAGCAAAGGAGCAGCACTTTGAAAACATGTTACTCTTATGTACATAACCATAAGAAAATTGTATAGCAAATAGACACTTCCTGAAGATGAAAACTCTTTCCACTAATTATTATCAATCCAATATTCATGCAAATTGTTTTTGGTTAACATATGACACTCACTTTGACCATAGAACTTTGAAAATGGATTGAGAATATTAATCTTTCCATTTGATAGATTTCATTAACACACCCTGTCCATTCCTCTACAAAAAAACTCAAAAATAAGGTTTTTTGATTTGTTTTATCAGTCAATATTTTTCTGTAATATTTTATTTGTGTCAGATATCAGAAATTTCTGACAGATATTTGCACTGTCAGGTTGACTTTCTGAGTAACCATCAGGTATTCTTATATTAAAGAGATTTTCAATATTTTGTGCATTTCTGTCTAATAGTCTTATAACAGTCATTTATATTATTAGATTAACTTCTAACAGATGTCAACCTGTCCTTGGCTTTAGTTGCTGCAATTACTGAATTGAATTGAGAAAATTTCAATTCTCAACACATTTCATCTCAAGGAACATTACAGGACTATTTATATCCAAAAAAACTACAATCTATACCATTTAGTGCTAGAGACCCAAATCTGATTTACATGCAGATTTATTGATTTTGGTTTTCTGTCAAACCAAAATGTTTCAGATTATAAAACACATTTTAAATATCAGACAAACATAATCCGAGTGAATACAAAAAGTACTTTCTAAAAGATCATTTTATTTATCAGAAAAGTTCTGAACCTGCAGTCTGACCAGTAGAATTGAGATATCACTTCATTAGAACTTTTCTGACAACATAAAGAAAGCTAAACTATCTCAAACAGCAGCACTTGACACCCCACTGATATGAAGAGATTTACAATGAGAAATAAATTCACTGGTATCTATCAGTCTTTAAAAAAGGTTCCACAATCATTACTGAGTCTTTGAGATGACAGAAAACCTCAGTGAGAATCATGATCAAGAACCCATAAACTCATGCTCTGCTCATGGGTTATTATGATTGAATAGTGAAGAATCTTCCAAGTAATGAGGAGTCCACCACAATGACTCCAAGGGGAATCAACGACCTCTTCAGGTCACAGAAGAACTGAGAACAACATCTAAAGCTCTGAGGGCATCACTGCCTCAGTTAAGGTCAGAGGTCAATATGGTAGTTAAACTAAGCAGTATTTTACTGCTGCTTATAGTTTGTCTATTTCTTGTTTTTTGCCCAGGTGTATCTGCTCCATTTGTCTTTTTGATTAAACATCCTCAATCTCTGATCAACCAGACAAACTTTTTGTCTCTGGTTGAAGTCATCAGACCTTCCTCCAGTTCTATCAAATCTACCAGGAAGCCATATTTATGTCATGACTGCTGACTTTATGCTGAGAAATGTGGAGTCATGGGACTCAGGATCTACAGTGGTGTGAAAAAGTGATTTATCCCTAAGCCTGATAACTGGTTGGATCACTTTTAGCAACCACAGTGGTCAAGCGTAAATGATACAATGCAGTGAGTCTTTTTCAGCTGTGGAGGAATTTCTTTCCTTTAATGTTTGCTGAATGTTTCTAATTCAGCCACACTGAAGAGTTTTCCAGCATGAACAACATTTTTAAGGTCATCAGGCAGCATCATAATAGGGTTCAGGTCAGGACTTTGACTAGGCCACTCTAAAGTCTTCTGAGCAGCAAAACAGCAACAGGCCAACACACTAAGACCATCATGTTGAACTGCAGGTGTGATCATTTTCTGAATGCTGTACAATGTCACACCAAATCTAATGGGACTCACAGCTTCCAAAGAGTCCATTGAAAGTTTTCTCAGAGGTCTTGGGGATCAATGAGGCAAGTTCTGGAAAAGTGGAAAGAACCTTAAAGTTTTTTTCTTTGTTCTCATTTGTTCCTGAACTTCTCTGGATCTCAGCCTGATGTCTGGCTTTATTTTGGAGTTTTGTCATGCAGGTCCTGTTTAAGTAATGGCTTGATTAAGATCAGCTGTGGCAGTAATCAGCCCAGGTGTAGCTGTACACAGTTAACTCAGCTGTGATTTAGCAGAGAGGGAAATCATTTTGTCACACAGTCATGTGGACCTGAACTTTTTCTTTTCTTCATGAATAAACATTTTCATTTAAAATCTGCAATTTGATTTTATTTTTTGTCCATTTCAACATCTGTTCTGTTGCTTTTGTTGTCTTTGACTAATATTTACAATGGTTTGCTTTCGGAAACAGTGAAGGGTGATAAATATGTAACAAAAGGAAATCAGGAAGTGGACAAACATTTCTTTACACCTCTGTAAATGAATGCATGTGGTTTGATGAACCATTTTGTTCCTCTGTGCCAGCACAACACTGTTTGAAATGTCACCGTCATTAAGATTCATCCTGTTGCTACTTCTATTTCTTTAGATCTGTCACCACAACCAACCACATGGGGAAAGTTCTGGATCTTATGGGCAAACACTGCTGACACTGCATTATTTTGGCATCAGATTGACGTGTTTATCTGGAAACAGTTTAGCTGGGAGTCTCCTTCTCTACTATCTGAATACTTTGTCCTGGACATTCATCGATTTCCATGTAGTAGCAAAAAGTGGTAAAACACCAGATGGAGGCAAAGCTAAACTAAGTACTGCACTCTATTGGTCAAAAAGCTGTGCACTCTCCTTCAAACACTAGTATATACCTGCCTCAGCATTTTTTAACACAAACTGGTGAGATCTCAAAAAAGACATTTGTTTTCAAGACATAAACTTAAAATGAAACTGCAAATAAACCATGGATCTGATTATGAAGGCACTGAGTTTACACTTGGCCACCATTAAAAATATAATGTAAAAAAAGCAGTCTAATGAAATACACATTTTTATGTCATAAATAAATTTACCAGTAACATAGATGTTGCCACCCAACAGATCATTGTTAAAGGCAGGATTAAACTTCTCTGGAGCTGAACACATCATCTCATGGAGATGCAGGATGAACTGAACTGTGAAACCAAATGCTGAAAGTTTTCATCTGCAAGACAAGAAACACAGAAACACACAAACTGTTAACCTGTAAGAACTCAGGAGCCTGTTGCAGGAAGCAGGGCTGAAAATTATAGGAAAAGCATCCAATATGTGAAATTATTACTGAATGTTGAAGTGATTATATGAATTGTTATAAATAGCTAAACATTATTGTCAATCTGCTACAAACATAAACACTGAAGCATCAAGTCAACTACTGGAAAAGAAACAGGTTCGGTAGGTTTTGGTCATAAAATTAAAATATAAAAAAGTTGGAGTAAATCAGTAATTCCATTAAAAAAGTGAAACTTGTACATTATATTTATTCATGAAATACAGGCTGATATGTTTAATACATATACGATGCTAAGATACTGTATCAGATATATATATTTATTTATTTATATAAAAAATAAAGGGAACACTCAAACAATATAACTCCAAGTAAATCAAACTGTCCACTTAGGAAGCAACACTGATTGACAATCAATTTCACCTGCTGTTGTGCAAATGGAATAGACAACAGGTGGAAATTATCTCCATATTGATTTCATTCATTCAGATCTAGGATGAGTTATTTGAGTGTTCCCTTTATTTTTTTGAGTGAATATGTCACATGACCTATAAACTATTGAAGAAAAATATTATATTTTGACCAAAGAATAGCAAAAAATCTTTTCTTTTAAATGAGTTAAAAGGGAATAAAATTGACTGACTCATTTATACAGACTAGTAGAACAATTTCACATTGATTTGGAGTCAATTGAAGAATTGAAGAAAATTATTGAAGAAAATTATTTAATATTAAATTATTTAATATTAAAATTACTTAAAATATTTGAAGTGACCTAACAAATCAATAGAAAATAATGTGTCTCATGTAATACCATAAATTACCACTTTCTTGTGTAAGTTGGTCACACAGCAAAACATCTATTTGTATTTGTTTGTCACAAGTTTTTGGTTTGGAAATTTGTTGACAGTCCCTAAGTGAACCTCCAAACTCTTTCTTTTTCTTAAATTTTATTTCAAACAAATAACATGAACATACATACAGATGGTTTTCATGACAAAGTGTCAAAAATATATTCAAATAGAAGAGTTAAAAAATTTTTTTACCAGTCTCTTATTATTAAAGTTAAGTCTTTCAAAAGAGGCAATATCCATTTTTAAGTCAGTTTCTAGAAAATTAGTAAAAGAGGGGATTTTTTTCACTCCATCTCATCTTGTGGACATAATATTTTCTGTGATTATAAGATCCACTATTTATATTTCATCTAAAGAAAAAGTTTAATTGTTAAAGATTAGTAAATTATGTAAATTTGATTAAAAAATGGAAAGAAATATTGTTTTAAGGAGTTTTTGCAAGCCGACCAAATTAATGTAGTTTAAGAACAAATAAATGTTCAATACTTTCACCTTCACACTGACAAAAAGAACAGTTGTTGCTGACGCCTGGAGAGAAACGAAACATTATATTTTTAACTATGTAAAATCTTAAATAAAAATGTGTTGATTCTATTAGTACTTTTATATTTATGAGGCAATAAAAAGATTGCACTCCACAGTACAATTTTTGGCTCAAATAATCCCATCTATGTTTATTTATGGGAGTGGAGAAAGTTTGTAACTGATAAACCCGTTTGTAAATTTATTTTTCATTATATTAGTTCCTTCAATTTAAGGAACTAATTCAAGGGGAGGCTGGACATCCCTGCAGATCCCCTTTAATGATATTAAATGGGCTAGATGTGGCATATAAAAGTTTTATAGAACTGTTGTTATCTCTGTAAAAAGGCTTAAAGGCTTTAATGAAAACATTCCCAAAGTTAAAAAAAAATCAATGTATGAGACCCTGTTTTATTGACAGGGAAGTTCTTCATTGTTAATAAATTCATTATAAAATGCGAGAAGAAATTCTGAAGTTTCAGTCAAAAATTTGTGATAAAATTCTGTTGTCAAACCATCAAAACCATCATTGCCTGGTGACTTGTTAGATTTAAAGTTTCTGATGCCCCATTTTATGTCCTCATTACAGAGTTTTTCCATCACAATCCTCTTTTTAAGTCATTAGCTTTGTTCACTTCTACTAAAGAGTTTGTGCAGTTATCATTTTAATAAAGATCTCTATAAAAATTTGATATAAATTTTTGAAATTACTGAATAATCTTCTGTAAAAGGATTATTTATATTTAATTTGGTTAATGATTTTCTTTCAAAGTTTCTTTTTTCCATTTTAAAAAGGTATTTGCTATTTTTTTCACCCTCCTCAATCCATTTTAATCTAGACTGAATAAAAGCACCCAGTGCTTTTCTTTCTATATTTTATCTCGTAGTAATCTATAAGATAGATCTGATTAATTGCTCTAGTTTTCTTTTTGTAGGCAGTTTATTCTTTTGCTAAATTGGATTGCATTCCTTCTAATTTGAAGGGGGAACAGATTATTTTAGTCAGCTGAAATATATTGTTCCTCCCTCATATCTCTGGCAAATAAGGAGCAAATCCCACCAAATTGATATGATTTGCTATTGATGAAGAGATGAATAAGCAAGGTTAAAGACTTGTTGGTGAATTAATTTGTTCCCTTATTATGGAGGGGGAACAGATTATTTTAGTCACCTAAAATATATGGTTCCCTCATCATAACTCTGGCACACAAGGAGCAAATTCTACCAAAATCACAGGAGTTATTGTTGATGAGGAGAGGATTAAACACAGTTAAAGACTTGAAAGTAAATTAATTTCTTCCCATTTTATGGAGGGGGAACAAATTATTTCAGTCACCTAAAATATATGTGTGACCTTGGTTACAACTTTAGTTACGTGTGAAGAACCTTAAATTCTCTGGTGTTTTCTTTTTACCAGATCACACATAAGTTTGTAAAAAATAATCAGAGGCACTGATGCAAATTAATCACAATTTATTTACTCACAATAACCCTTAAGCATAAATAGTCAATTCATTTTATTGTACAATATCGACCACTTTAAAATCCTAAATCTAAGCTGGCCCTGGAAACTTTACAGCTGACAACTAGGCCTGTCGCGATAAACGATAAATCAATTAATCGCACTTTAAATTAAAACTATTGACGTCATTTCAATTATCGTCTATATCGTTTCTTCCTGCTTTTTTCTCTTACTGTTGATGACACTGAATGAAAAAAAGGCTCAACTCCGGTGCTCTCCACTGACCCTCCCTTCCTTATTTCTTAGTGTAATGCCCAGCGCACGCGCTGCACGATGTTATGTCGCGGATTGTCGGCCCTTTATCAAAACCTGAGAGACATTAGCCGACAACCGTATTGTATCCAACAATGGACACAAAATAATAAATCCAGTTAACTTATATTGAAACCAGGCATTAATCAATTCCTTGATACAATCTACCTGCAATGCATGTGGCGAGTGTCAGTCTGACTGAATGAAAATCATTATAACCTATTTCTGTCACGTTAACGAAGAACAACTGAAAAGTTACCGGGTTTTCTGGTAGAAATTTCGGCCCAACTCCTCCCCTCGTTATTTATATTTTCTTTGCACGAAATGTTGAATAAACATTCATGTCGTTTCCGATATCTGCTGGACTTCGGGTTGCATCGTGTCAGCTGTTCCGGATTCCCTCCGTGTTTCCCCTCCGAAAGCAGGAGGAGAATCCGCGCTTTCTGATTGGCTACTGGTCACATTCAACAGGCTGCTTTAAGCTCCCAGTCTGGGCGAATCCTTGATTTAGATCGGAGCGGAAACGATGATCTACCGTAACACACAAGGGACAATCTTCGAACGAATAATTGTCATCCGGGGTAAAAAAAATCCTGTAGTTTGAACTATTGCATCAGGCAGTCGGATTCTTCTCTATTTAAATCTAATGATTACTGAAGGTCAATATACTATACAGACTTCATAATCTGCACTCTTTTGGTTGAATGCAGTATTTATTTCCACTTTGGCTTTATGTTTAGTTTTTATTCAAGTACATTTATTGTTAATGGAGACTGAGAATCTATTTTATTTTTGTTTTTAGTTGTGTTATTTATTTTGTGTATCAGTCCCAGTGTTAAGTGTCTTTTGAAAGTAAAGTGTATCTATCTTTGGCAAGAAATTGTATGTATTATTACGTAATTTCCATTAAATCAATGTAAAAAGGTCTTCAAACAATATTATCGTTTATCGCAATAATTTTTGAGACAACTTATCGCCCAGGAAAATCTGTTATCGTGACAGGCCTATGGATAAACAGTTATTCCGATTAAATAAAATCAGACTGCTTGGGGAAGAAATAATCAACAAAGAAACCAAATATAACTGAATACACCTATGTGTTCCTAAACAAAAACACACTCACACAACAAAAGAAAGATTCCCTGTGAAGAACACAACAAGAAGAAACTCCCCTTCCACTACTCCCTCAATCTAGATAAAACAGCTTGGAACCAGGGACAGCACAGGTTATTTTATTTACAAGCGAGCCTGGAGGGCTGGACAATAAAAGCTCCTCTTCCTTAAACTACAAACCCCCAAAAGAATAAAGAATTGAATCAATAAATAACCCAAACATAAATTCTAAACTAATGCAATACAGAAACCAAAACAAACTAAAACTGAAACAGCACCAAGCCAACCTTCTCTAAAAGTTAGAGCTCTGTATGTCCTCTTCAAGAGGAGGTTTCCTGTATAGGAATCAGCCTGTACTCTCACCTCTCAGCGATCCACCCGCTTTTAAAGCGTCTTCCTTATAAGGGCAAACGGAAGTGTGCATAATGGACAGAATGTGCCGGCTACATATGTTTCCCCCTTCTTAACTCTGGCAAACAAGGAGCAAATTCTACCAAAATCACAGGATTTATAATTGATGATGAGAGGAATAAACAGAGAAAAAACTTGTAAGTTAAGTTGTTCCCATATTATGGAGGGAGAACAGATTATTTCAGGCTTCTGAATTATCCATTCATTCCTCTCCTTACCCCATAACCTTGGTGAATAAAGAGCAACTGTTTCCAAATTCT